TTTCCCTAGCCCAGTCATGAGCAGTGGGTTAATTAACACGTGGATCCTTTGTGGCAGCTATCTGGAGTACACACACATACTGAGCAATGTTGAGCTGTCGGATCACCATGGCTTGAAACACTTGATTCTGCTGGGGCCTAGGCCAGTGAACTATATGATAAATAATGAGCCTTTCAGCTTTGGACTAATATGCATAGTTTGTACAAGTATGTAGGTACATATAAGTAGGTACAAAAGTGCTGCTTAAAAGTTTGTTTACAGCGCACCTGTGCTAAAACTTGCAGCAGTTTCAAAAAAGGTAAATGTGCGAGCCGGGAGCAACCCGAGCCCTTTTCTGTGCTGCATGCGGGCTGTGGCCAGCAGCCCGGGCACACCGGATCGGAGAGGGAAGGCCGTCGAGCTGGAATTAGGCACAAACGCTTAGCGGTAGTTTTAAAGATTGTTTACTTACACCGAGATGGCAGTGGTGCAGGCTGGAAAACTTGCTTGAGTTGCAGTTACAGACAGACAACACAGACGGTATGGGTTTTCGGCGACGGGAAGATAAACCTGCAGGACTCGAACCCGGGTAGAAGAGCTCTGGATTCACTCACATGAAGTTTGCTAGGCTCCGTGGGTCCGGTTCTTTTGCGCACAGGAAGGGATGCATCTAGGCTGCTATCGACGACGGAGAGAAGCTAGAGGTTGATCAGACCTCTGTTGCCTGCTTGAAATGCGTTGGGTCCGTAAGGATCCGCAGCGCTTAGAGATCTTCACACAGTGTGAAGTCTCTTCCTCCCGGTGTTCGTGGAGTCCTCCAACTTGGGCGGAAACCACTCAAGCCTTTTATATGGCTAGCAAGCCAATCACTAGCCGCCACGTGTGAATAATTTAGAACTGGCCAATAATGGGACTCGAATTAGCATACAAATGGCGGGAAATCTTTGCAATGAGCATTTCTGTGCTGCAACAAAGAAATGCACCCTGCAAAGAAAGCTTCAAATTGGCGGGAAATTCTCCCTTGCACCGGGGTTCTCTTTTGCAGCAGAAAACTCCACCGTGCAAAGAAGCTATAATTTAGCGGGAACAATTTAGCAGTGCCGAAGCACACAAAAACAAAAATCACACCCTTTGGGTTGTGACAGTAAACTGTATCAATTTCTGATGAACTACCTGCATATATATATTTCAAAGTCAGTGTCTTCATATTTGCCTCTCACGTCCATGTGCTCAGGGAAAACAGGATCTGAAAATAAAGGGGGGGGGGGGGGGAGATGACAAGGGAACCACCTGATCCCTCACCAGATTTATTTTCCCTGTTGTAGTAGTAGGAGGGGGACAAATTCAAGGCAAGCCTCCAATAATTAGATTCTATACCTGGAAAATTATAACTAAGTTATAAATGTTCCAGATATATAATTTAATTATTGGGGGTTGTCATATATTCAGGGTTGTCTTCTGTTAAAGTAAATATGGTGTATAAGTGTTTTTTATGTCCACTGACTTAAAATTATGGTGTGTAGTTCAGAAGCAGTACTTGATAATATGAATCTGTCAGACGTGTCAGAAAAAGAAGGGTTGGAAGGTCTTTAGTTACTATCTAAGTCATACCTCCATATTTGTATTGTTTAGAATTATAAACCTGACTATTCTGTCAGAATCTCTTAAAATGGAACAAAACATGACCATTTACCTGTTTGGAAATGCATTTAATATCCGTACAGAATACATAGGTTTGTCATAATTTGTTCAGCCTGATTATTCTTGTTTTTGTAAAATCTTCTGCAAGGAAAAGCTCTTGATTCTTAGATCATTGCAAGCTCTTTTTATGAAATTATATATCTACAATTATTTTAACATAGTGACTGAAAAAGAATTATTCCCTTTTTTTACAGGTAATGATTTTTCATGAATTGCAAGCTAGTCTCTAGTGGGGACTCTGTAGGAGGATGAACACAGAGGAGCTTGAGCTACTGAGTGACTCCAAATATAGAAACTATGTAGCAGCGGTTGACAAAGCACTAAAGAACTTTGAATACTCCAGTGAATGGGCAGATTTGATATCAGCACTTGGAAAGCTAAACAAGGTATGACTGCAGCACACTCTAAAAGAAGCAGCAGGTATTGGGGAGTGTTCATAAGTTTTGAGGCATAGTTCTTAATATAAAAAAATAAGATTCTGATGATATAAAATTTTATTATGTTTTGCAAAAGTAACTTAGCTGGTCAACTTCTACATCGAATGAGCTGTTCAGCTAATAGCACTTTCTGAGGCTAGTTTCTAAGGGCGTAATCCTTGGTGAAGCCAACAAGTTAGTGTTTCTACTACAGGTATTTTTGAAGCATAGTTATCTAGAACAATTAAGAACTATCTTCCAGAATTAAAAATTCTCTTCAGTTGCAAAACAATAATATTTCACAAAAAGAAAGCATGATTCGAAATAGGATTTATTATAGGAAGCTAGCTTCAGTCCAGCTGGAGCAGTGATTCTCAGCCAGAGTACCACAAGATCCTTAGAGATGTACTGCAGGAGGTGAGAGGAGATAAGTGAGGCCTGAAAAGATAAGCAGATAAGGCTCAGCTTCCCTGTATGAGTAGCTAAGCAGATAAAGGCTGGCTCAGGCTCCCCTACTCTTTCTGCTGACCCCTCTATAGTGAGGTAAGCACTGTAATAAATAAGTTTTTGAAATAGGGTGCTTTTCAATTCACAAAAGTTAGAGAGATGTCTTGAGTTTCATGAAGGGTACCTTGAGTCCTCTAAAAAGGTTGACAATCACTAAGCCAGAGGTTAACTTCTTCTGTAGGCAATACATGTAACTGAGATCCTCCGGAGGAAAAATTTTAGTATGGAGTGAGTAGAAATATTTCACAAATTTGAACTGATGTATGTGTTTTTCTGTGCAAAATTGAAATGCGCATATAGAATGTTTAGAGAAAAACCTTTTCCTTTTCAATTGGGTTGGAAAGGGAAGGGAAGGGAAAAAAGAGCTTACAGGCAAAATACATATTTGCCCTTTACTGCTAGGGCACTATGGGAAAAGAAAGCTGCGTAAGGATGTATTATCTATGTATTTAATCATCTCCAGTAGAACCAATGTTCATAAGGAAAAAATGAAGGACCATCATATTTTTCATAGAAATAAACTGCAAATCCATTATTCATTGCCTTTATCTCTTTTAAACTGGTAACGCTGTCTTTATTTTGAATGCTGTTACTTCTAAATGTTTTTACAAAATTAATAATTTTAATTACAATATTGGTCCAGTCCTATGGTTCTGGTGCTTCCAAAATTAACAGTGAGTTTTGATTGAGTCTGGGACATAGGGTAAGGCTTGAAACATTGTAACCACCTTAACTATCAGTTGGTATGATAAAATTATATAATAATGTAAATTTAGGTGGCACTCAAGCATCAGCTCTGATCCTATAAGAAGTTCTGTGTAGTGGTGGTAATTTGGGAGCACTGATTTAGTTGCTGAGGATCGTAGAGTAGTTATTACTTATTAAAATTTGTCTTTTAATTTGTTTATGGTGATTCTCAGTATATTCACGCACGAAATAAAAACTAATTATTACCAAAAACATAAATGCCATTTTATGTTTCAGGCTTAAAAGTAAAGGTCCAAGGCAGGGGTAGATAAACCAGTACCCTGCTGCAGGTCTCTACCTCGTGGGGTGCCAAAGCCATTTGCACTTACTCTCACTGTTAATTCATGACCCCTCTACAGTGAAGATAAGCACAGGGTGGGCTGTGTAGGTGACTGCTGCAGAGGGGATGGGTGGCACAGCACAGCTATGTCCCGTGCAATCTCCATGCTACCCTGGGCTAGGTTGGTCCTTTGCAGGCTGGATTCAGCCTGTGGGCTGTAAAGTTACTAGCCCCTGTCCTAGGGTTTTCTGTTTTGCACATTGTGTTGTGGCTTCATAAACTAAAGTTGATGTGTTTGGAATATCTTTGAAAGAGGTTATCAATAGTCCTCTTGCTTTTGCTTGCTTTGCATCCTACAGTGACAGCTAGAATTTTTTTCCTGTGATTTCATGGATGAGACACGTTCTTTACATGTGGGGCTTGCTCTGAGTAAAATTGTACCTATTTAAGTACTCATACTTGCATCGTTTTGCTTATGGCAGGTGTTCAATTGACGTATCTCATGCTGTAAACTCAACTCGGCAAGATAGATTTTGAAAACTCATAAATGGTGGTGTTTAAAATGGATTGTTTGCCGTATGAGCCCGTTCCACCCTGTACAGGAACTAACTGTAAAATGAGCAATTGACACAAACTAATTGTTGGGTTTTTAATGGAAATGTCTCTTTCCAGGTTTTACAAAACAATGCAAAGTACCAAGTAGTACCAAAAAAGCTGACCATAGGTAAGCGTCTAGCACAATGCCTTCATCCAGCCTTGCCAGGTGGGGTTCATCGGAAGGCACTTGAAACATATGAAATTATCTTCAAAATCATTGGGCCCAAGCGTCTGGCCAAAGATCTTTTCCTATACAGGTAAAACATAGTTGTCATTAATTTTCAGTTTTTTAGTTAATCTAAACTACTTTTTGGTGTCTGTTATTTCACATGAACAATTGTTTTGTGTATCTTATAAAAAGAAACAAAACCCATCTTTTCTTTCATGTCAGTAGCTCTTGTTTAGTATGCTGCTTCTGAATATTTCAGTCTCTGCTTCTCTATTCAGAGAAATAGTGTGTCTTGGTGCTTACAAGTTTTGATATCCGTTATTTTACTAAAGTAAGTGGAAGTTTGTGCAGCTGCCTATGCAATAATTACACTTGTGATGGTTAGTTCAATATATTGAAACCAAAATTTTCTGTCTCTGCAGTTAAAATATTTTAGGAAAGAGTTTCCATATAGTTTATCAGAAGAACATTCTGTCTTCTAAGCTCCTGGGGCAGCAGAATATGAAATGTAATTTTGTGCATATGGCCGGGACATGGACATGATGTGCTGAAGAAAAGAAAGGTTTTCTAGATAAAAGAAAAATACTTTCACTTAGGGTTACCACCTTTACAAATTGGAAAGCAGGACACATGCCTGCCACTTTCCTTCTCCCCCCCCCCCGGCATAGCCAGAACAGAGCTGAGCACAGCCCATGAGGGGTGGGGGTGGATACAGGCTGCCTGCTGCAGGCTCGGAGCTCCCTGCCCTGCTGTCCTGCACCCAGGAGCCTTGTGCTGGCTGCGCTGCCATGACAATGAATCCCCTACCTGCTCAGCAGCAACAAGGGCCACAACCCTACACAGCTGCTAGGCAGATTCGGGGCCCCTCACCATGTTGATGTGGCCAGCACGAAGCTCCCAGGGGCAGGACAGCAGGGCGGGAGCCCCAAGCCTGCATCTTCCTCTGCCCCATGCACAAATTCTGGGGGGGGAGGTCATGCACACAAACCCCCTTCCCTGGGAGTGCTTGTGGCAGTGGGGAGCTGCCCCTCCCCCCACCCCCAGACAAGGTGCCTGTGGCTCCATCCCACTCCTGGCTAGGCTCTGCAGCCACACAGTCCTGCTCCAGGTCCCATGCACTTCCCTGACTGGTTAGTAACCCCCAGGCCAAGCCCCTGCCCCATTCCCTTCCTCACCATAGGGGCCTCAGCCTGCCCCCGACAGAATTACCTGCAAGCAGCTGGGGGAGCTTCTCTTCACCACTGCCTGGAGCTGTATCCCAGGACACGTGCACATGTGCGAGTGCACATGCACATAGCTCTCCCTGCAGCCCCATTTCCCGTGTTTTTCTGCAGTGAACAGAAAACCCAGATCCCTGCATAATACTGTGAATCTAGCACAAATGCTGTCCTGGAGTCATGCAGCCCGGGACTGGGATATGAGATTCCCATTTTGGCACTGCCCCACCCAGTTAGGGACAGGTGGTCTCCCTACTGTCGCTGCTTCTGCCAAATTAAAATATTTTTTATAAAAAAAAAAATGTTCTGCTGCTACAGGAGCTTGACAGGAAAAATCTTTCTCTGATTAAACTGTATTGGAACTCTTTCCTACAACATTTCAACGAAGGGAAAGAAATATTTGGTTTAGGTATATTGGACTAACCATCACGAGTCTAATTATTGCATAGGTGGCTGCAGAAACTTCCATTTATTTCAGCTGATTTGTGCTTTCCAGTAATTAGTACGGAATTGCATTTCTACACAACAAATGCAGAAAATAATTTAAAGACACTACATAATTCAACACGGGGCACTTTTTTCCACAAAACAGTCAATCCAGTGAAAACGTTAAATTATGTATATGTAATCCCAATTTTTTTATTGTTTGGTATCAGTCACAATCCAGAACTGAATTATAGTCTTGGTATTTTATCAGTCATTGGACTCTATTTTTTTTATAGTTTTTTATTTGGGGGGGGG